CTCCTTTCACCTCGTCTCTGTCTGAGTTCTGTCTTTTCATCATCTGAAATGACACCATCGATGCTAATTTTCTCCATCCAAACCAACGTTCTGTACTAATTTTGACCTTATCGTATGTCTCCTTTCTAGGTTCAGACTAATTTAAATCCCCATTGGTAATCTAAATCAAATTCAATTTTTTTGTCAAATCAACCTTCGAATCAACACGTAAAACGAGTAGAGATAAGTCCAAAGGTCCCAGGAGAAATCGAAATTTTAATTACATGGAGGAAACAGGCACAAATGAAGTCCAAAGAGCCCTTTGATTTGAAAGCTGAAATCCCCACACTGCCTTTTCTCTTTACGTAATGGGTATTACATTGAATTTTTCACAGATCTTTACCGAATTAAATCCGTCTTTTATATATTTTAATAAGGCATATTTGGCTCTGGTAATTGCTTTTCAATAATATATGATCTATGCGGCTCCTGTATACTCTGAAATTCACTATGTGCCTTTAATGTTTATGTTTTTAATTCCTATTTGCTATGTTTTATAAGTTATGCGTTTTAAAATTGTAATCCTTGAAGGCTGATGATATTCGAGAGGGGGTTATATTGTTTTCCTTAATTACAGCGAGTTTTACGACAGCCTTAAAATGATTCCTCCAAAATCTACGCTTTTTTAAGATCAGAAGTCTACGTGAGTGATTGTGATGGATTGTTACACGAATAAATTATGACGTATTCTCAAAAGTCTCTATAGCAAATTAGCTAGAACTGGAATGCCTCTCAGAATTAATTAAGCTACCTCAACAACATGGGGGAAATAGACGTAAGGAAAGTAGAGCGTTCATTGAGCTTTTGCTCACGGCAAGCATGATTAGTGATTGAATGCATTCAGTGCAACTTGAATGGACATTAATAGCTGGTGAGGTGAAAAGTCTTCTAAAAGCATAAACACTCCCTTCAGAATGCTCAAATGTCCATGAAGTTAATTAGATAAATTGGGGTGTCCGATAGACTTACCTCCACGTTGTGCAACCTGGACAATGTATACTCTTACGGCAAAAGAGTCTATTATTAGGCAGTTGACTTCTCACTTCAAGCTACAATGACACCACTGTATGTCATATTCGATCACTTCAACAGTAATCATTTTACCTTTTTGTCTGATTGCGTCTGTTTGTCCTTTTTACATCTGCGAATTACTCTTCTGTCCTCCCTATCAACGTTTTGTCAATTTGATGTTCCTCCTCCTCTCTGTGAAGCTCACAGTCAGCTAAAAAGCGAATGGCAACGATCAAAACGCCTGCCATTCGATATAAATAAGTAAATAGTTAGATAATTTGTATTGGGATTGAATTTTTCCACAGGCTAGTAACACTTTTTGCATTATAATAAAAATTATACCTTTTTTATTGTGATGTTGCATAAATACTTTAATAAAATATTCGCATCAAGTTACCTCCCACAAGGAGAGGCCTAACTTTGTGGGTGTATTTGAATGTAGAGTCAGTCAAAATTCCTACGCACAAGTTCGACTAAATAGCAGGATTCAAAATAATTCTTGAAAATGCAAAAATATACGGAGTTTGATTTTTTTCATATTATTTTGAATATTTTCATTAAATTATTGCAATTAAAAATGCCTCTATCCAATTTGAATTAAAATTGTTGACCAAATGTTACACTAGAGTAAAAAAATGGTCAATATCTGCCTACTTCAAATACTTCCGCATTTTATCGATGACCACATTTAAACAAATAAATTATAAATATTTTAATTGGGCAACTCAATCAATTGAAACTGGCTAAGATGAGAGGGGTCAAAAGGCCATAATTCAACGCTAAATTTTCAGTGTACTAGGTCATCTGATTTTTTTAATTTGGGCTACTCTATATTTACTAAATGGGCTTTTCACGTTCCAAAATTTAAACTTGGCCATTCATTTCAGAGATTGCGAAAAATGCTTGCGATTTAATATTTCACATTGAGGTTCTAATTGATTAAATCCTTGTTAATCTTTATTAGCAACAGCATCTATTGATAAGTTCACGAAATAAATTCAAAATCAGCATCCTTGAAATGCATTAAATGTGATAATAAATTTCCCAAAGTCCATTTTAAAGTCTATGAAGTACATTTTCATTTTGAATTTCCCCTAACCGTGAATGCTACTTTAAAATAATGTTCCTTAATCACTCCCCTTTCTCCTCTTCGAGATCTGGCTGTGTTAGGTCAGATCCAGAAGAAAGAAGATGACCCACAGTAGATGCTGTTTCTTCTTCTTCACACTGTGTCCAAGTAATAACAGAAAGACCAATAACCACTATCGCAAACCCACAAGCCTGCTTAACCATCTTCTAAGTTGTCAAATGTTTATCAACGTGAAAAAAACGCCATGCCGACCAATTGTCTTGTTGAACCTTCCAGTCTGGTTAGTCCTAGACTATCATTGGCACTTCCTTCTTTTACCCCCTTTTTCATATCCCATTGTACAATGTATATCTGTGCGGGGTGTGCGATAGACTTACCTCCACATGGTGCACCCTGCGCAACTTACATTTATACTCCAAAAAAGTCTATTAACTGGCAGTTGACTTCTGACTTCAAACTATCATGACCCCGCTGCATGTAATATTCGACCACTTCCATAGTACTCATCTTACCCTTTCTCTGCATTTCTATCCATCTATCTCTTAACATCTGTGAATTACTCTTCCTTCCATCTCTCGAATTTTTCCCACTATGATGTTCCTCCCCTCTGTGAAGCCCGAAGCCAGCTAAATGGCTAATGATAACTATCAAAACGTCTGCCTTTTGAAATAAATAAATAAATGTATATTATTCCACCTCAGTTCTTCGTCGTTTTCATTCAGGAAAGACTATAATATCCCGTTAACTTTAGGAGGAACACTATTTCTATGAAGGGCTGTCCAGATTAATCGGGTTTGCTTCTTACAATACTACTTTAAAATCAGAAAATTTTACTTCTGGTGTAGATAATGTTCAAAAGAAAAATAATGTCACCAGATACTAGCCTTGGCATTGTACTTTGAATACCAAGACCGAATCCTGTTATCTGCTCACAGTGAATACAAGATTTTACCACATAGTGATAATCCAGTG